ATCCCTCCTCCTTTCAATTAGCCCCACATGTGATTATCAGCCAGGTTGGCACAATTAACTAACTCAGATACGTTTCAACATCTGCTGGATTGTTTCCAAGTACCTCAAGCTTTAAAGCCTGGCCTTTGCTCTCATTTCTTCTAAACTCACCATTTTTGTTGGGTAAACGGTAACTGATTCAAGGTGGAAGTTTTCTGAGCAAACAACTGACATTTAGGTAAAAGGTGTTTTGTTTTGTTTTTAATGTCTGCTTTTCATTCAAGATCTCCAATTCCTTACCACCTAGCTTAGTACCTATTAGTGCTCAAGAAATGTAGATTATATACCAATCAATAAGTTAATGAAGCACTGGAAGCACTTACTCATCTATGTCAGAAAATTTGGAAGACAGCTACTTTGTCAGTTGACTGCAAAAAATCTATACTTGTGCCCATTCCAAATAAAATTGACCCAACAGAATGCTCAAACTATAAATATAATTGATATCACATGCAAGTAAAATGTGGCTGGAGATCGTCCGAAAACAGTTGCAGCAGTGCAATGCCAGGGAGCATCCGGAGGATCAGGATGACTTCAGAAGAGGAGGTGGAGCAAGGGATGTCACTGCTGATCTCAGAAGGATCTTGGCTGAAAGCAGAGGATCCCAGAAAGATGTGCACTGTGCAAACAGCGAAAAGAGAAAGGCCTTCAATGAGATGGACTGACACGGTGGCGACAACAATGGTCTCAGGCATAGGAACTATTCTGAGGATGGTGAAGGCTGGGCAGGGTTTCTAGTCTATTGTCCATAGGGCTGCTATGGGCGGGAACCAAGGGAATGACCCCTAACAGTAACACAAACATTTCCATGTACTCGTACTCGTATGCAAAGAATACTTGTTAATAAAATATATTTTCAAGTGGGAACTTTTGGCAATTTAATATCAAACAAAATATTTCAGACAATGGAGAGGGTATTATTTGTGGGTAGTTAAGATAGTAATTACACATTTCATTATAACACTTTAGTCTTCTCAAGTTAGCTTTTAAAATCCTCTTTCAGCTCTTTTATTTAATCATTGCTTCCATTTGTTTAAGCTATTTATGTTCAAAAGTGAGTTTCAGGTTCTGTTTTGCTCCTTTATTCCTTTCCTACCTTTTCAAAACCTTTGCCTTTCTTTATGTATAATATCCTGGATGTGTTTCCACAGCTTGTCTGTGTTATTTGTGTTAAATGCATCAAATCTCTTCTGAAATGGTCCCTAAATTCAGGTGGGATTTAATCAAGGTTTATTTTGCCTCTTCTGAACTTGTTTTGATTTTCTTCAGCTTCAACCTGAATTGCATATATTTTATAGGACAATTCAAGAAGACCCAGTAAAGTATTATAATAAAATGTGTAAAACTTGCAGTTAGAAAGCCAAAAGAGAAGAACATGCTTGACATTTCTCAGGCTGGAAGAATAGGAGAAAATATCCAAGCCTTGGGTGAATGGATTATTGAAAGATTCTATGGGTAAAATGTTGAACACCACAGAAGCATCAAAAATATATACATGTGAGTAATACATAGTCTCTGTATCTAAAAGAACTGGTTGACATTCAACAATTTCAGGAGATAGTATATGATCAAGAACTAATGGCACTGGGGGGTAAATTCCAAGCTGTACTGAGGGCATTGGTAGTAAAGCAGGCTTCAGGAGCTGATAGAATACCAATTGAGATGTTTTAACAAATAGATGCAACACTGAAAGTACTCATTTATTTGTGCCAAGAAATTTGGAAGACAGCTACTTGGCCTACTGGCTAGAATTCATACACATTCTAAAGAAAGGTGATCCATTGAATTGCTGAACACATGGAACAGTATCATTAATATTACACACAGTAAAATTTTGCTGAATAATTCCAAAATAGTTTCAGCAGTACATAAAGAACTGCCAGATTTTAATAGGTGTCAGAAGAGGACATACAACAAGGAATGTCGTTGCTGAAATCAGACAAACCTTGGCTGAAAGTAAATACCATGAATATGCTCATCTGTGTTTTGTTGACTAGTGTGGTGGTTACATAATTCCTGTCAACTTGACTGAAGGGGTGGAGTCTAGCTTGTCAATCAGGTCACAGCTTGAAGACCTCATTTGGAGGCATGATGGAGATAAACAGCTCACTGGAGGCCAGGCCCACTCTCTCTGCCTTCCCTTTTCTGCTGTTGAGACACTCAGAGAACTGGTGGAGACCCACGCCAATGTTGAGTTGCTTCCGCTGCTGCTGGATCCACAAGACCTTCTACCCACCGGCCTGTAATCTTTCTGCACTCAGCATCATTGCATGTGCTGCATGAGTCTAAAGTGGAATTTTTGGACTAGTATTGGACATATGGGCTAATATTGGACTAAAGGGCTTGATAGAGACTGGGTTGGAATGTTTTCTCAATATGCAATTGCTCTTTTATATAAAGTTCTTTCCTATACACATATGAGTGTCTATAAATTTGTTTCTTTAGTCAACCTGGACTAACACAACTATGCAAAGGCATTTGACTTCTTGGCTTGTAATAAATTCTGGACAGCATTACAAAGCATGGGAATTCCAGAACTCTTGTGCTCATGTGGAACCTATAAATAGACCAAGAGAGAGTCATTTCAACAAAACAAGGAAATACTGCATGGTTTGAAATCAAGAAAGATGTGTATCAGAATTGCATCTTTTCACCGTATTTATCCATACTGTATGCTGACCAACTGATTTGAGAAAATGGATTATATAGAAAAGAATGTAGCATCAGGATGGGAAGAAGGCTCATTAACAACTTGCGATATGCAGTGATACAACCTTGCTACAAAACACGAATGGGTCTTACTGTACTTACTGTTGAAGATCAAAGACTACAACTTTCAGTATGAAGTACATATCAGTGTAAATGAAACAAAAATTCTCACAACTGGACAAATAAACTACAACATAATAAATACAGATGAAATTTATCAAAGATTTTTTTTTATTTTACTCCACAATCAACACTCATGGAAGCAGCAGTCAAGAAATCAAATGATATATTACAATGGAAAAGTATGCTTCAAAAGACCTATTTAAAGTGTTAACACCAATCGCAATGATCTACCTACAGCCCCCTCCCAGGGGGATGGACAACAGAAAAGTGGGTAAAGGGAGACATTGGCCAGTGTAAGACATGACAAAAATAATAATAATTTATAAACTATCAAGGGTTCATGAGGGAGGAAATGTTGGGGGGCGGGGATGAAGAGCTGGTGCCAAGGGCTCAAGTAGAAAGAAAATGTTTGGAAAATGATGATGGCAACAAATGTACAAATGTGCCTGACACATGGGTGGATGTATGGATTGTGATAAGAGTTGTTCAAGCCCCAAATAAAATGATTTATTTTTAAATTTTTAACTATATAGAGGAATCATTTATATAAAAATCATTTATAAACAAGGAAAAAAATAAGCAAAGATGTCATTTTAAAGACAAAGGTGCACCTGATCCAAGCACTTGTATTTTCAATAACCTCATATGCATGAGAAGAACTGATGCATCTCCATTATGGTATTGGTGGTCTATGAGTAAATACATTTTAGATACACAGGCTGAATGAGTGTGGGAGAGAAAGTGGAGTACACCTACAAATATGTGTAGGTTTGACAAAGGATTTGCACATGTGTATTTACCTCTGTTTCAAATATATCCATGAATATGGCAGAACATACAGAAGGTAAAGCTATGAAAGTTCTTAGACATAACCTTGAAGGGATAAGTTGCTGGGCCTGAGGGCTCAGGAGATTGTCTCAGGGACACCAAGATGAATTGGCAATGGTAATCCTCATCCTTGGCGAGTCTTCAAAGCTTGAAGGTTAAGGTGAAACTATTGGCCTTTCCCTCTTTGGAGGAAAGAAGAGAGATGAAAATTGAGGGTACTTAGAAGCAATTAGTCCATTGAACTAATGTCCCATGTAAACATCGATCTCCACCACCTTGAGACCAGAACTACATGGTGCCTGGCTACACTACCAACTGCTCTGAAATGGAACACTACAGAAGGCCCTCAATAGAGTGGAAGAAAATGTAAAACAAAACTTAAAATTATATATATATATATTTTTTTCAGGCTTAATAGTCAGATAGAAACTGGTGGAACTCCTATGAGAATGGTCCTTAGTTACCCTTCCAGTCTGGAAATGAACTCACCCCAATGCTCAATTTTCACCCAAACAATAGACAGGCATGTAGGGAGTATAATAGCACTATGGATGGATGCACACAAATGATCAACCATTTGAGATGGAAAGGGCAGAATCTTCCCCAAAACCTAGTTTAAAAGGGTTGGGGAAGAAGAAGGAATGAAAACAGGGCCGATCAGAAGGAAATAAGATGAGATGTTTCATTGTGGAGATTGAAATCAATGAGATGAAACAAAATGTTTACAAAATGTTGGATGGAAAACAGGTTGACTTTGTATACCTTCACTTAAATCATCATAAAAAGAAAAATATTTGATGGATGACCAGAAGAATGTCTTAGAAAAGAATTGCTGGAATGTTTCTTAGAGCAAGGACACTTTGTCTCCTGTACTCTGGGCATATTAATAGGAGAAACCCTCCTTGACATAGTGGCTACAACAATGGGCTCAAACATAGTAATCATTGTGAGGATGCTGCAGAATTAGGCTGTGATTTGTTCTGTTATGCAGAGGCACTATGGGTCAGAATCATTGCAATGGCACCTAATGGCAACAACAGATAGAATGCGCACTGTAATCTTAGTGGTGCAGAGGATTAAGTGCTTGACTACTAACTGAAACGTTGGTGGTTGGAATCCATCCACAAGCTCCTTGGAAGAAAGGTCTCGTGATCTCTGTAGGAAAATGAGCCATTGAAAACCCTATGGAGCACAATTCTACTCTGATACGTACGGGGTCACCCTGAGTCCGATTTGCATTGATGGAAACTATTTTTTGTTTGTTATTTTTTGTGTTTGGAATGGGTACAGGCAGTACCTTAACAAGAAACAGCTCCCCTACACCCACCCCAAGTTGATCCTATTCACAGTTTCTCTCTGACCTCCATTTCTAGATCCAGAAATGTCTTTGAAAAGATCCAAATTTAAAAGTAAAATTTTTTAATTAATAAGAGAAAAGATCCAAATTTATTTTTATTGTGATTTTGGTAGTTAAGAGCAGGAGCAGGGTTTCTAGCACTTCGGGGATTCAGGCTGGAAGACGCCTTGGGGAACTCCGTGTAATGATGGGTCTTGAACCAGACTGTCTGTTTCGATGGACTGGTTTAGAGTTGCGGTCATAATTCAAAGGCCTCATATTATTAACTCAGCTATTGAGCATAGAGGCAGTTTTCTCCATGCTCTTTCTTACCCAGCTGGGTGTGTTTTCCCCTTTCTTGTGCCCAAAGCAAAAGTTAACTTATTAGGGGGCAGTGGGGAGGGAGGGGGAAAAATGAGGAGCTGATACCAAGGGCTCAAGTAAATGCTTTGAGAATGATGAGGGCAACAAATGTACAAATGTGCTTGACACATGGATGTATGTATGGATTGTGATGAGTTGTACGAGCCCCCAATAAAATTATTTAGAAGAAAAGAAAATCTTGCACATTCATAGGGACACTATGAATGGGAATGGAAAAAAAAGTAAATGTCCAGAAAATAACAATGACAACTTTTATACAAATATGCTTGATACAACTGATGCTGTAAGAGCTGTAAGAGCCCCCAATAAAATGCTATTTTAATAACAATTTAAAAAGTTAAGTTATTATATGACCTCTAGTTTCTGTTGGGTCAAGGTTGTCTTCCTTAGGGCATGAGGGCAGGGTACATGGAGGAACAGTTTGATGATGCTGCTGATGCTGATCTTGACTTCCTGTGCCAGGATAAGTGGGAGGCGATGTTAATCACTCAGCACACAACTGTGGAAGTCTTTGAACACATCAACTTGATGACCCTGGACGTTCTGTTAAAATGTGCTTTCACACAGGATACCAACTGCCAGATAAACAGGTCAGTGATGGGGAAAAGTAATAAAGATACTTGCAAACCATTATTTAAATCACTTACTAACACATTGTCTCAACTTTCTCTTCTAGCTCCACGGACCCCTATGTCAAAGCACTGTTTGAATTCAACAAAATAATCTTTCATCGCACACAAAGTTTCTTGGGTCACCATGATATAATTTTCAATTTAAGCTCAGAGGGCCAATGTTTCCAGGAGTTAAGCCAAGTGTTACATCATTATACAGGTATGTCTTAGATCTGGGCTGGCCAAGTCCATACACTGTCATCATCGCAGTGTGTTTATGTAGGCTAGGCCCCAGTGTGAAAAGAGAAATCATGATTTTTGTTATAATTTAGCTTTCTGTAAACACTGATCAGATGAAAGACAACTTGAGTCCTTTGGAAGAGGTTGCTATGTCCATAGTAGTAGCTAATTTGTATCAGAACTTTTCAATGTATTATGCAGTTTTATTCTGTGTAATTATTACTAATAAAAATATAGTAAGTGGGCATTTAAAATCTCAAAGCATATATGTCATATGGATTTTAGTGCAGTAATTGTAGTGATAATGCTAACAGATATGAATAAGGGGACAGAGTAAGCAACATAAATTTCAAAACAAGCTTGATTCAAGAAGAAAAAGATTTGTAAAACATAAAAATTGAAATAGATTAAGCTTTCTAAGCAAGTCAACATTACTTTTCATGAATGATACAGTATGCCCCAAATTATCATAATTTACTTAAAGTTCATATTTTCAAGGGACTTGAGAACTATTTTAATGATAAATATGATAAATATTTTAAATTGACATGTGTAGTTGAATCTATTTCTAGAATTTCTATTTTATTCCATTGATCTGTCTATTTACGTGGTAGAGTCTCACTGCTTTAATTATAGGAATTTTGTAGTAACTTGTAAAATACTACAAATCTCTTCCTTTTCACTCTGTTCTTAACTACTATATGCTTATTTTCCCATGTGGGCTTTAATATCAATTTGTCTAGCTCCAGAAGAAAACTTTCTAGTATTTTACTGGGATTATATTAAATTTATAAATTAGTCTAGGAGAACTAATATCTTGATGATGCAGCAACATCATATTCAAGAATAAAGATTATCTTCCCATAGCTTTCCAAGTTTATGTTGTAGTCTTTCATAAGTCTTTTTATCCATATGTAATTTTTTTCTAAATCATTTTCATTGGGGGTTCATACAACTCTAATCACAATCCATACATCTATCCATGTGTCAAGCATGTTTGTAAATTTGTTGCCATCATTTTCAAAACATTTTCTTTCTACTTGAGCCCTTGGTATCAGCTTCTCATTTTTCCCCTCCCTCCTCCACCCTCCCTCATGATTCATATGTAATTTTTGCATGTAAATATTGCACATTAGTTATTAAGTTTACCCCTATGCACTTTATCTTTTTTGGTTGCTACTGCTTTGTCTCTCCCGTTAGTCTTTTAAACTATCTACTTATATACATGAATGCTATTAGAATTTACAGTGGTCAGTGTAAGATATGAAAAATAATAATTTATAATTTATCGTTCATGAGGGTGAGGGAAGGAGGGAAAAAAGAGGAGCTGATACCAAGGCTCAAATAGAAAGTAAATGTTTAGAAAATGATGATGGCAACATATGTACAAATATGCTTGCTACAATTGATGTATGGATTGTTATAAGTTCTGTAAGAGCCCTCAATAAAGCAATCTTTAAAAAAAATGTTTACATGGTCAAAAGAGTTCAGCAAGATGCCACACCAGAGCCAAACCCATTGCCATTAAGTTGATTTTGATTCATAGCTGTTCTATAAGACTGTAAATCTATACAGAAGCAGACTGCTCCATCTTTCTTCTGTGGAGAGGCTGGTGGTTTTGAACCACAGACTTTTAGGTTAGTAGCTGAGGACTTTAACTGTGTTGCTAAGGATCCTTTCAGCAAGGTAACAGAGTATTGTTTGGGGTAGTTCTGTTATCGATTGTCTAGGGTTTTCTTATTATACTTTCATGTCATCGCAAAAAGAGATATTTTCAGTGTGTTTCTAATTCATATTCTTCTAATTGTTTTCTCTTGTCTCATTGCATTGGCTCTCACTGCTGCTCACTCTGCCAGGGAGCTGATTCCAACTCCGACACGGCCCAGGAGACCCGCCCCTGCGGGTTTCTGAGACTATAAATCTGTGGGAGTAGAAAGCTTCATCTCTCTCCCATGGAGCAGCTGGTGATTTTGAACTGCTGCCTTTGCAGTTAGCAGCCCAGTGTGCAAACCCATAGGCCACCCAGGTTCCAGATCGCATTGGCAATTACTTCCAATATAATGTTAGGTACTGGAGTAGTAAAGCTAGAGGGCATGCTTGCCTTATTAATGAGCTTACTGAAAACCCCGAGGCATGCCTCCATTTAAGGTATAAATAGAAACATTTACATTACAGTTATATAATATCATGCTAAGGAAATATCCACCAAATGAGTTATCTATTGCTTTACAAAAATGAAATAAACCACCCTCAAACCCTAGTTCCTTAAAACAAGCACTCCATTTGCTCACCATTCTGTGAGTCAGCTAGGCAAGGATTAGCTGGAATATCTAGTTTCTGTTTTGTATGATGTTCCCATAAAACTGGAACTCACTGCCATGGAGTCGTGCTGATGATACCTGGGTTTCTGTACTGAGCTGCAATTGGGCTGAAGGATTCAGGATAGCCTTAAGTTGGCTACTAAAGGAGATTGGCTGGAATGCTCTGATCTTATGGTCTTTGTATTCCAGGGTCTCCCTCCAGGTGGTCCTCCCCCTCCACCCCAGCAAGATAACCTGGACTTTTTTAGGTGATGGTTCAAGACTCCAGGATAAAAGAAACTGCAAGGTTTCTTAAGGGCTAGGTCCAGAAGTCTCAGAATCTCACGTCTAAAATGTTAAGGATGTGAGGAATGAAAACATCACACTGCAAAGGCACGGAGACACAGAAAGTTGTGATTCATTGGGGGCGTTATTATAAGGAGCCATTTACCATTCATCTCTATTTTCTTTAGTGTTTACATTAGCCGTGAATGTTAGATTTTACCAAAGCTATCTTCAACATCATTGAAGAGAATCATGATTTTCCTCCAGAGACTTGTTAATATGGTGAATTCTATTAACAAAGTTCTGCATTCTAAGCTTCCTTTATATTCCACTTGGTCTTGGTGTGTTTTCTTAGGTGTGAATTTAGAGACTATTCATGAATATTTTTTTATGATTTGGAATTGACATTCCTAAGTGCTACCGGTCTGTGATTTTATGATTTGTTGTTTGTCTCTTTATCAGATTCTGAATATCAATGTCTGTGTATGAATAACATGAACTGGGATGCTTTACTTCCTGTGCTATGAAATACTTCATGGGCACTGGGATAATTTGGTCCCAAAGGTTTGGTAGACTCTTCCTTTCAAACCACCTGGGTTTGGTACTCAGTGCTTTTAATGTAGTTTTCCTAGGAAGTCTCTTGGCTACAGGACGTTCATTCTCTGCACATTCCCCAGGAAGAGCTCGTGAGCACAGATCTTGCAAATATAAGAACAATGGTTTAGTCTTGATATTTGAAGGCTAATTTGACTGGCTATAAGATTTTAGCACATATTCTTTCCTAGGTTTCTTGACAAATGTTCTTCTATTACCTAGAGTTCTTTATTGTGCTTGAGAATTATGATGCCAACCAAATTTTCTTATCCATGAAAATTACTTGGTCTTTTGCTGGCATCTCTGAAGAATTCTTTTCTATCTTTAAATTCTAGGACTTTCACTAGGATATATGCTGAGTTGGTCATTCTGTTTCAATGTTTTCCAGGTGTAGAGTGGGTCCTTTCAATATATATTTAAGTATTTTTTTATTTCCAGAAATGTTCCTTATATTATGATTTTAAATACTCTAATTAATATTGTATTCTGTGTTTTATTTCAGGGCCTTCAATTGTACATATATTGGGTTTTCTTTGCCTGTCTTCCATTTATCCCAATTCATTTTATACCATTGCTATGAAAGTAATGGATCTAGATTGATGAATAAAACAGTTACTAGTCACTTGCATCTACATCTGAAAAAATATATACAGTATATATTATATTGCCTATGTAGTGATATATAAAGGAGCTCTTGTGGAAGTGTTTACATAGTTGGTTGATATTTGAAAGGTTGGTGATGAGACCCCTTCAACCACTCCATGGGAAAAAGATGGTACAGTCTGCTTCTATAAAGATTATGCCTTGGGAATTCTGTGGGAGAGTTCTCTGAGTTGGAATCCACTCGTGATATAAAATGTTTCCGATCTACCGTGTTTGTCTTTGGAACTTTGATCAGATGGTACCCATTTGATAGCAAAATAAATATTTGTAAAAACTGAACTTTTCTCAAGCAGAAACCAAATGTGTTGAGAATGATGATGGCAACAAATGTACGAATGTGCTTGACATAGTGGATGTCTATATGGATTGTGACAAGAGTTGTATGAGCCCCAATAAAAGAATTAAATTTAAAAGACTGAAAGAAGAAAAAATTTAATAATATCATGACAAATGTGTTTTAAAAAACTGAACTTTTAAAATATAATGTACTCACTCTGATCTCAGGAAATTAGGTAATATCCAAAGCTATTTGTGGGCCACAGTTTGCCATTTATTTGACTTGATGGATGTTTCTGTCATTTTGATTAATTGGGAACTATAAATATACTCCAGAAAAGATAATCCAGGACAGAAAGAAATCCCTACAGGATGAGAGGAAGCGGGATAACACTCAGGAGAGGAAGTACCAGGATTTTCTGGATGTTGTCCTTTCTGCCCAGGTAAATCAAATTCCTGAGCTTATCCAAACAGCTAATTAATTATGTGGGTGGATAGATGAATAGAGGAGTGGCCATTTGAATAACAATCATTTGAATTGATGTGTTGTCTCCGTGTAGTCTGGCGCCAAGAGACTTCTACAGCTCTGCCACTAGAAGGAGACAACAAAGGCTAAATTATAACAATCTGGTAGGATTTGAGAATGTCTTGGTGAAAACCAAAACCAAACTCCTGGCCATCGAGCCAATTAGGACTCATGGTGAGTCTAGGACCCAGCAGAACTGCTCCTGGCGGGTTCCACCACGAACCCTTGACAGGAGCAGCTGCTGTTTCCAAGCTGCAAACCTTGCAGTCGAAGCCCAGTGTGTAATCCCCGCGCCCTCAGGGCTCCACCAGAGAAATACAGGAAACTGATGAACCGTATAAGCTGGTTATATGAGCATGCGGCACAAAAAGTCTGGGTAGATCTGGGAGACTAAAGAAAAAAATGTTTTAAGCTCGATTATTTGAGAGAACTTGTCTAGTATAGCCTTTGTCTCCTTTATGCCCGTGGGTGTAGTTGTGGCTCATACAATATGTTTGTTGCAATGAATTAAAATTTAAACTCATGCTTGAAACCACCACCCCCCTTTTTTTTTCTTTCAGACTATTATTTCGGTTGGGACTTTAAATATCTATAAATCAGCTTTGCATAAAACTATCTCTGCTGGACTTTCTAGGCTGAACATGGAGACATCTTCTCAGATACTGACCTGTCAGCTGAAGTGAACACATTCGTAGTGGCGGGGCAGGACACCACAGCCGCGGGCATCTCCTGGCTCCTCTACTGCCTGGCTCTGAACCCTGAGCACCAGCAGAGATGCCGAGAAGAAATCAGGGGCCTCCTGGGGGATAAGCCTTCCACAATCTGGTATTCACACCGAAACGTTCAGCCCAGTCTTCTAAGACTGCTTTTAGTCTTCTGGTGTTCAGTTTTACGTTTGATCCAAAGGGAGACTAAAGGTGTAATGTTAGATTCAGCATCAGAAAGCAAAACTCACACAGGAAGTACAGAAAAAGAAAATTTTTTTAATGTACTACTCACAGGTCCAGAGTGGAAACTAGTGCAGGGCCATCGAAGGTTGCACTCAAGGTCAAGACAAATTGGGATTGTAAGAGAGGAAACTTGGTGACATAGAGAGTTACAAGTTGGGCTGGTAACCTCACGGTCAGCAGTTCGATACCATCAGTTGCTCCTCTGGAGCAAGATGAGGCTTGCTGCCCCAGTACAGATTTACAGCCTGGGGAACCCCCAGAGCAGTTCCTCTTTCTCCTCTAAGGTCCCTGTGCGTTGGAATTGACTTGATGGAAGTGAGTTTGTGCTTTAGTTTTATGTATGGTGTTCAGAAGGAAGTCTCAGGGTTCGCGTATGTTGGTCTTATTGGTCAGTTTAAAATTGTTTTAATTCATTCGTGCAGAAAGGGTAGAAATGCTTATCACAGGCATCCACATGGGGCGTGGCCAAGAGGGACAAGGAATAACTATGGCCATTGAGAGACTGAGGGGCAAGAGAGCATCGAGGTTTCTAACATGGGTTATCATTGGGGACATGATTGGGTGGGCTAATTAGAGACTGAAACTGCTGAGAAACAATGTGACAGGGAAGGAAGGGCCACGTCAGAAACCAGGTGGCATGGCAATGAAGAGGATTGATGGACATCGAGGCAGCAGGCTATGTGAATCACAAATGGGCCTAGGACACTTGGTAACCACAGTGATTCAAGACATGTATATGCGGAAACAGAAGTCTGCTCTTTTTCAAGAGGGCCCAATATCCCTTTGTGTTTTGCTAAAAAAAGTTCACTCACCTGTGCATTGCCTGTTTCATTGTTTCTCTACTCAGTGGTGCGGAGATGAGCTATTTCTTCCACAAATGACTCTCTTGCTGTCAAAAGGATCAGAAAGAAATACCAAAGGAGACTCAGGCCAGGGTGGGGTGGGGAGAGAAGCACCTGTTTTATATGCTAGGCTCGATACAATTAGAACATTTTTTAAAGGAAAATTTGAATTTATAAAATTACAGAAGTATCGCTTTTTATAAGAAAATACTTATTTCCTACTATAAAAATGATCTTTTTTATTCATTCACTGAATTTGGAAACACTGTATAGTGTTACCACCTCCCAACATTAAATTTCAACCTTGCTTTGGGGTGGAGCTATACAGCTCAAATATTGACCTTTTTCATTCTTCTTAGGCCTAAATGTGAAAACAAGGAAGAAATCTTTGCCAAGTGAGAAAGACAAGTACCATAGGGTTTGATTAAAGTAATATTGAAGAAAAGACATTTTATTGCTTTATAATATCATCTTATAGTTGAAAAAATGTTACATGACACTCTGAGAATTTCTAATTCCTCTCGACATAAAAACCACACTGCAAAGAGCATGTTCTGGAAAAGTGAGGCAGTTGCTCAGCTTCTCCAGCTGGCTCCATATCAACGCTTTTCTACTTTGTTTTAAATGTTTTAATTTTTGCACCAGGATTGAGATGGACAGAATTGTTTTCTTTAATTACGCAAAGTCATGCCAAGCAAAACTACAGTTTTCTTCTGGGGGTAGGAGTCACTCCTACATTACAAATCATTAAGTGCTCAACTACTTACCACTGTTGGAATACACACACCTCGGAAACAAGGCCTAGAGATCTGCTTCCAGGGACCACGGCCTTGAAGAACAGGCGGAATGCAGTCCACTCTGCCACCACGAGCCAGGACTGGCTCTTTGGTTTATTCTGGGCTTGAAGGAGAAAGACTTCAAAATTAAAACTTCACATTAGCAAACAGCCTAAGCAAATTTTAAATGAGTAACTAGAAAGATTCATACTCGTAGCCACTCTACAGGACATAGTAGAACTGCCCCTGTGGGTTTCTGAGCCTGTGAATCTTAACAGGAGCAGAAAGCCTCACCTAGTAGGAGTCAAACTGCTGACTGTGTGGCTAGCAGCCCAATGTATAACCCACTGTGGCATGAGTCAGAATTTACTCTGTGGCAGTGGGTTTGGTTTGAACCAGAAAAACAAATAGAACAAAGCAAACAGAGACAGTAATGAATGGACTCATTTTATGAAACCAAACTAATTAGGGAGCAACTTTCTTCTCCTAAAGGTCACACTAGTATTTACTTCAAACTGACTCTGTGTTTTTGCTTGTCTGCTTTTCAACTTTGGGATCAAATGTTGGGTCCACAGAGTTCCCACCACTAAATCACAAGGATAGTCCTTCTCAGTAATTAAAATGGATGGTCCAATATAATAATGAAAAAAAAAAAAACTTCTAATTTTTTATCCATTTGAAGCTCCCCAATCCATCCCAGCGACTCTTCAAGCCTGGAAATAGTAGCAGAGAAGGTCTTCCTTTAACTCAGCAACTACTGCTTCTGACCTTTCCCGAAAGGCTCCCAAGAGGATGCTCGCGCCCATTACAGTCTCCGTCTCTTCCTGGTCTGCTCCTTCCCAGCTCTAGGGAACATTTGTCAGATCCTCTGAACAAATCTCTTGAAGCCATTGGATCGTATTTCAGATATGGAAGCACCACTTTCATCCCCCAAGGTACTCCAAGAACCCAACAATTCTCTTTAAAGGTATTTTTTCCCTCTCTCAAAAATCTTAAGCCTCTTCTCTTCATTTCTTGTTGTTGTTGTTTACTGTCATCGGCTCAGCTCTGATTCACGGCCATAGTGGCCCCTTCCACAACAGAATGAAATACTGCCCTACTGCCCACTTCTGAGTCATCCATGGCTGAGGATCAAAAGATTGTGATCCATAGGGTGTCCCTAGGCTAATGTTTGTATATAGTTCTCCAAGCCTGGCTTCTTTGTCTGGAAGCCAATCAGACCTATTCAGCATCATAGTCCGCCTTCATTTATAGATGGCTATTAGCTGTGTGTGAAGTGCCCTGGCCAGGAATCAAACCTGGCTCTCTCCCATGGAAGGTGAACAGTCACGGCCTCCCTTTTAAGCCTTAGGCATTCCTTCTATGTTCTTATTTTGAATAATGAATGATGAGCTGTGACAGTCATTTAGTGCTACTCTACCTCATACCACAAGTGAATGGTTTTAACAAACAAGTTTCTTTCTCTCACAGTTTAAAAGGCCCGACTTCTGTCCCAGTGCAGAATGCTGGCTGTGAGGAAGGCATTCTTCCTCTGTCAGCTCTTCTCTTCTGTCAACGCCATCGACCCAAAGTTCTTTGGCGATCTCCATGTATCTTAGCATCAACCTTCCTCTGGGGGCTCTCAGGGTAAGACATCAAGTGCAAGGTCCCTCTCCTCTCTGATGGCACCTAATGAAGTAACAACAAACTACCAAGGAAGGGCTGGCTAAGAGAATCCTGCAAAGCAGCTCATACGCTCCGTCTTAAAATGGTTGAACAGCAACCATTTTTCGGTACGGTGCCTCTGTGTTTTCTTCTGGGTTGCTTCCTGCACTGTTCAATATTTTGTCCAAAGAATATTCAACATTGCAACTTGAGGCTTGAATTAATTTTTTTCTTCAATTCTTTGTGCTTGAGATCTGACCATGTGCTTTTCGGGTTTTCTATCAGCCGGTTAGAAATATTATTATTATACAATGTATTGTTATATATTTAATTACTTTACCTTGTTTTGCTGAGCTGCCCTTGGAAGTTTTCTCCTCGCCTCGCTTACTTTATGGTTTCTTCCACTTGCTTTCACGGCTCTACACTGAAGAACAAGTTTCAGAGACCCGTCTGACATTCCCTTTGATCTTTTCTTCCGTTCCTGTCTTTTAGTTGGCATCTTGCTTTCTTCATGTATGATGTCCTTGATGTCATCCCACAGCTCATCAAGGATGCTGTCATTATTGTTCTAAGAGTCAAATCTATTCTCGATATGTTCTTGAAATTCAGGTGAGCTATTCTGAAGGCCAGATTTTGACTCTCATGGACTTGTTTTCATTTTTTTCAACTTCAGCTTCACTTACATGTAAGCAACTGATGGTGTGTCCCACACTCAGCCCCCGGCCTCATTTTGGCTAATGATATTGAGCGTCTCCATCCTCTCCTCCCACAGAGAGAGTCGGCCAGGTTGATTCCTGTGTATTCCATCTGGCAAAGTCCACCTGTATAATTGCCATTTACGTTGTTCAAAAAGGTATTTGCAATGAAGTCATTGGTCTTGCCCAATTCTATCATGGGATCTTCAACTTTCTTTCTATCACCAAGGCCATATTTTAATATATAATAAATGCACAAACTGGATTTAACCTGGTGGGGATATTTCCCCGGAACAAACTTAAAATAGAAACTTTACCAGATTTACAAACAGGATATGGAGTCTGAATTCCCTCTCTCCCTCACCCTCACAGGGACCACCTAGAGGAGATGCCATACACCACAATGTGCATCCAGGAGGCTCTCCGACTGCTCCCTCCAGTCCCATCTATTTCCAGAGAACTCAACAAGCCCCTTACTTTCCCAGATGGACGTGTTTTACCTGCAGGTCTTTGTATTTTTTTCCTAAGTCGTTTCTTGATTCTGGGGAATCAAACTGACCCAAAAAACAATGGGTATCTTAGAAACCCACAGGAGCAGTTCCACCCTACCCTATAGGTTCTGGATGAGTTGATCAACTCGATGATAGTGAATTTGACTTTTTGAGTTCTATAGGTGTGTAGTCATTAATATTTTAAGTAATGCCTTCATGAACATGATCTCATTTTCAAAATGCAATGCTTCACAGTTCAGAAAGCACCACCAGTGGAGTCAAAAGTCCACTGAAAAGCCCTGGTACACAGATGAGCTGAACTGAAACAGAGCTGGAATTAGCTCAGAGGTCTTGATGCTCTTAGTCAACACACCAAGGTCTCTGGGTAGGGCATGTGGGAGTCAGCACGGCCGTGTGAGTTGCCATTTACTTTGTCTGCCCAGTGTTCTAGTACACTTTGTTCTTGTTGGAAAAAACATAAGATTTCTTGTAGCCAGTAGAGCCTGAACCCTATTATGACTTTGTTAACAGAGCTGGCATTCATCTACCAGAATTACTTTTTCTGTTAGCCAGATAACCCTCTGCATGACTTCAGTTCTATTCTTATGTTCCCAAACTGTCTCCAATGGGTGCTTTATAGTCCATTAACACGTGGTTTAAGTAATTTCCAGAAGTAGCAAGCAACATAGACATAATTTACCATCCTGAGGTGATACCAATAGCTGCTTAAGATAGAATTCGAAATTAAGTAAAGCAGTGCTTTGAAAACTAAAGTACCAACTCAAGCCCATGTACCACCTCCCCACCCCACCTCCCGCCCCACAGATAGCATCCACTTTCCTTTTTAAATGAAAAGGCTTGGTGAAGAGGATTATAGCAGTAGCCTACAACTTGCTTTTTTTCCTGCACTTTCTTTTAATCTTCTTCTTTAGGAATGAATGTGATTCTCAGTATTTGGGGTCTTCACCACAACCCTGCTATCTGGGAAAACCCAAAGGTATGACTATCTTTTCCAGAAATACTTTAAAGAACTAATGCTGTGAAATGTACTTTCAGGTTGCTATGCATGAAAGTGTCAATGCAGTTAGAGGAAATAGCACAAAGCTATTGAAAATGAACATAGAAACAAAAATGTGAAACTTTTCCACTATAAGAAAAGTGATCTCTGTGAGGTGTTGAAGTGATCAGGTATCAGACATCTAAGAACAAAAAATCATACCATTGTGTATTCACCTTCCCAATATGATCGCTGAAGACAAATGGGTGCATAAGCAAAAGTGGTGAAGAAAGCTGATGGTGCCCGGCTATCTGGGATCTTAAAGGCTTGAAGATAAACATCCAGCTCAGAAGCAACAAAGCCCACATGGAAGAAGCACACCAGCTTGTGTGATCACGAGGTGTCGAAGGGATCAGGTATCAGGCATCAAGGAACAAAAAAATCTAATCATTGTGAATGGGGGGGAGTGCAGATTGGTGACCCAAGACCCATCTGTAGGCAACTGGGCATCCCCTTATGGAAGGGTCACAGGGAGGAGACAAACCAGTCAGGATGCAGTGTAGCAACAATGAAACATACAACTTTCCTCTAGTTCTTAAACATGATCCCAATTCTACCTTACAAATCTGACTAGACCAGAGGATGTACACTGGTACAGATAAGAACTGGAAACACAGGGAATCCAGGGTGGATGACCCCTTCAGGACCAGTGGTGATAGTGGCAATACCGGGAGGGTGGAGGGAGGATGGGGTAGAAAGAGGGAAC